GCATCAATCAAAATTTCCAAAAACTACGTCAATTTATCCTTTGTTTCCCCTTCAACAACATCAAAAGCTATTGGTAGCATCTTGTCATTAGGACCTCTACCAATGACTCCCAATATTTGTCCTCCACAAAGGCCCTTTAAAAAGCATTCATCAAGAACAATCATGTGTATAGAAAGCTTGAAACACTCCATACATGCATAACATATGTACAATCTTCTAAAATGAGGCTTTTTATCATCGATTCCTTCTTGCACAGATTAGGCATTTAACTTGATTGTTGCCCCAAGATTTATACTTAGAATTTTATGACTGTCTACCATGTCACTAGCTTCAAATCTTGCTCTAATTGCCTTTGTCTTATTGACCCCTACATTCCATTTCTTTTGTGTCTTTTCCTTTATATCATTAATCTTTATTTTATGATTATTTTTTAAGGAATTTTGAATCCTTTTACACAACCACTTTGTAATCATCATTTTGACATTATAATCTCTAATACAACTATGGATGTCAATTACTTTCTTAAGCTGCTAAGGTTCCTCCTATGGCAACTTGGCAAAATAGGTTTCCCACCCATAACCCTATCTATATCTAACCTTAACCCTTTGTTTTTCATTTCGTTCCTATTAGATTGAACAATATAGATTGTTATTACTTCCTTAAATCACATTTTGTAGAAAAATATGTTCATAACTCCCATTTATGATTTTCCATGTCTTTTTGCAAATTGAAAATTAGATATTTTGTTATTAGTTGTTCCACTATTCTCATCACTTACACATCCATTTTATAACTTTTCACTCTCATTTTCACTCACAACAAATTCCCCCTTGTGTTATTCTCACCCGTGTTTCTATTTTTGTACTAGTATTCTCTTGAGCATTGTCATAGCCAATTAGATTATGCATTTCCTCTTTCACAAAATCATCACTATTATCATAGTCATCAAATAAATTTTCCAATGCACTGTCATAATTAAAACTCTTCTCCTCACTATCATCATAACTTACATAACCAACCATGTCACCCTCATTCATCACCAAGTACCTCACCATATTTTGCATCACTATATTTCCCCTCACCATCATAAACATCTCCACCGTTTACATAATCATGTTACCCCTCGCCATCTTGAACATCACCACCATGCACCTCACCACGGTGCCCCTCATCATCCTAAACATCACCATTTTGCACCTCACAATCCTCTCTAACTACTTTTTTATAAAGTTTAGAAAGAAAATCTTCTCCCTCCTCAAGATTTATAATGTTCTCATGATTTAACTCATCTTCATCAAGAGGATCCTCATAAAACTCAGGCTGATAAAGCGGTTGTTGTATATAAATATCAACACTCAAATGCACCTTGCAAAGATCTGCAATATCTAATGCAATTTTGAAATCAGCCAAAACATCCATCACAAATGTTGGGTCCTTGTACTATAATGTATTTATTTTTCTATATCTTAGTTCCTTGATTATACCTACCAATTCAAAATAACTCCACTTATTAACATCAATTTTTAATTCATAAATTGTTCTTCCTTCATATACGGTTAGCTCATTATCCAAAAATGAACCATTATAATGAATAACAAATGAAGGTATTCTTCCATTTCTACCTATGTCGAACAAAATTATAACTAGAAACAGGGGGGAAAAATTTGGATAACCCTATAACCTAAAACAAAAACTTAAAATAGAGCTACACGTAAACACTAAATTCTAAAGTTAAAACAAAAACCCTAAAACCTTAAATAGAAAACAGTTGAAAACAAAAAAAAAAACCTAAAACCTAAAATAGATAAAAGTTTAACATGAAAAACCCTAAAACCTAAATTAGAAATGGGCTACAAATTAAAAACTGTTATGAAAATTGAAGCTTAAAATGCGCCTTCACACTTGTGTTCCCTAGAAAATGTTTTTCTCACCTTCAATTTCGCCAGCGCAGTCCTTATCAACATCTTCATTTTCTTCTCCGTGAACTTTTCTTTTATTAGGGTTTTATGAGTGGAAAATGAAAATGAGAAACCCAACTTTAATTGATTTTTCCCTTTAATTATATGTGTGTTATTTTAATTTAATCTCCACATCAGCGTCAAATGTACATGATATGACTAATACATTTGACTTTGACTAACAGAGTTAAAAAAGGGACTAATGTGACACGGTTTGAAGAAATAAGGGGTCAAATTGATCTTTTAAAATTTAAGGGACCAAACTGGACCCCGAGTTAAAGATAAAGGAGAAAAAAAGTATTTAATCTTTTATGATAAGTTTTCTATCTATTTATTAGGTTATCTTAATTTTAATTTTAGAGCAAGACTTTTCTTCTTTTTATTTCCTTCTTCATCTTTAGTTAACCATTTTAGTTTTATTGCGTGTTCCTGCAATTTTTCAAATAAGGTAGCCAAATCCATAGAAGACAAGTCTTTGAATTCCTAAATCGTAGTGACTTTAGATTGTCAATTGTGGTTTAAGCATCTAAGAAATTTAATAACCAAATCCTCATTTTAAAAAACTTTACCTAGAGTTCTCATATGATTCGCATTGTGAATAAAACATTTTTCTATGTCTTGAATGTTTCCCTTAAGTTTCATTCTAAATAGTTTGTACTCATGAGTCAATATGTTTGTTATAGTTGTTTACCTCAGTTGTACCTTCATGGGTAAGTCGAAGGGTGTCCCAAATTTCTTTGGCAATAACACAATGAAAATCACTCAAAAACTCATCAATGCCTAAGGCAACGATAATAATAGATTTTGCTTTCAAATTGTGCTGCATTTTTTTCTTGTTTTTCTTTGGTCTAAATTTTTTTATCTTTGTTTTTCACAACCATTAACTTGAAGTGTGGGTTTTTTCTAGGTTGCTTATAGGTTTAAGGTGAATTTTCCTAAGAGTGGTTTAATTGGAGTTAATGGAAATCCTGAGTCTATGGTAATGGAAGAAGGGCTCATGAGTTAATGTGTTTGTTATAGTCTTTTACCGCAGTTGTACCTTCATGGGTAAGTCAAAGGGTGTCCCGGATTTCTTTGGCAGTAACACAATGAAAATCACTAAAAAAAACTCATCAATGCCTAAGGCAACGATAATAATAGATTTTTCTTTCAAATTGCGCTGCATTTTTTTTTTTGTTTTTCTTTGGTCTAAATTTTTTTATCTTTGCTTTCCACAACCATTAACTTGAAGTGTGGGTTTTTTCTAGGTTGCTTATGGGTTTAAGGTGAATTTTTCTAAGAGTGGTTTAATTGGAGTTAATGGAAATCCTGAGTCTATGGTAATGGAAGAAGGGTTCATACATTGTAAATAATAGTTTTTTTTCATGTAACTTGACTTACTTGTTAGTGTCAACCCTTCTAGAGAGTCTACTTGGGACCTCTTTTTACGATCTTTTCCAAAAAGACTAACTTTTTTTTTGTGAACAAAGATGTTAGCTTGGGTGGGAGACTGTGCTTTTAAAATCAATCTTTAATTCAATTTTCATTTTCTTTCTTTATTTACTAAAGATGTTGGTGAAAGTCTAAAGAAGTTTGGTGAGACTTTTATAGGAGATTTTTTTTTTGGGACCCTAAAGTCAAATCAAATATTTCTTGAGTTTTCTTAGTTTGAGGTCTATAATCCTGAAAGTGGAGGTGAAAATGTTTGCATGGTTATAGGCTTTGGTTGAATATTCTCTTCGTTGGGTACAAGACTTGGTGTTTGGTCATGAGGAAGTTCAGGGATCATTACATTGAATTTTTAAAAGCAACCACACAAGCGAGAGAGACACCACATATTAGCCCAAAACCTTAAAGCATTGAGTCTACGGATATTATCAGTTATAAAGTGTTCAAAATTCACTTTTCCATCCGATGTGTGACTCATACTCACACTTGATATACCAATAATATCCTCCTCAAGTGTGAATCCATCCATTCTTATGGATATTCTCCCCTTCAAATGAAAGTTTTTTCATCCATATCTACTTGCATCGCCGTTTGATGGCCTCAATGGAACACGTCGTCTGAACGCCCTTGTCATGAAGACTATTGATACAATGAGCCCTAGTTGAACTAGGATCTGATACCACTGTTAGGTCATGAGGAGGTCCGGAGATCATCATATCGAGTTTTTAGGGATGAGTGAGATCGCAAAATCGTAAAATTTTAAAATTTAGATCAAAATCTTAACAATCATATTTGTGGGTCTACTCACTTATAATGTTTATGGGTTTACTCACTTATAAATTGTTTAACTTTTGCTTTACCTTAAAAAAAAATTCTTTGTTTGAATTAATCAGACCCCTTAAGAATGTCTCTATAGTCACAATGGATTTTGCCTTGGTTTGCTACTTTGTGGTGTGAACATTGTGAAAATCCTAAATCAACTTTATTTTTTCTATTTTTCCAAGCATATGGCAGATAGAACAATTTTCTCTTCTTGGAAGTGACATCGGTAAGACCTCCTTATCTGAGTGGGGTGGGTCCATGTAGTAGTTGCTATAGAAATTGACTTTTGTGTCCCTGGCAGTTGCTTTGTTGGGAGACGTGAAGATGTATCTTTTTTCTTCTCCCAGATGATAGATGCCGTTAATCTTTGTTAATTTTGGTTTAGATTGCTGCAGAAAAGCAGTCTTCATTGGAGACGTTTTTGTGAGACCAAACAATAATGACGAGTTGACCGATCTAGAAAGGCTTGAATATTTTGGAAGCAAACGCGTGGTTGTTAAACTGAATAATTGTTTGAAAAGGATATAGTAAACAAATAACCAATGTGTCCGAAAGCAAAGCAAACAGCGTCTAAAACTCAAATGAAAATATAAACGCCGTCTTACACTTTTCTTTCTCGCCGGCCTGGCCTATAACGCGTTTATCCAACACGTCATTCGTCTTTTATCTTCGAAACTAAGTAACCATATAGCCTCCCCCTCCCTCATATCAAACCTATATATACACATTTTTGCTTCTATACTTTTCATTCATATAACATCCTTCAATTCAATCAACTTCATCATCAACATCATGAGTAACTTTAACAATCAGCAGCAAGCACCTATATCATATCCACCACCAGGTGAAGCTTATTCAACATCTCAATATGTTACTGCCCCACCACCTATGGGCTACCCTTCCAAAGATGGTTCTGAAGCCTACCCTCAACAAAGGATTCAAGACCAAACAACAACCAGAGGTGATGGGTTCTGGAAGGGATGTTGTGCTGCTCTGTGTTGCTGTTGTGCCATAGATATCTGCTTTTAACTTCTCATTCAATCATGCAACATACGTGTAGTGTGCTTATTTGTTACCACAATTTTTTACCTCTGTTGTTTCCCATTCTATTCTTTGTAGTTTGTAGAAGAATAAGGATTTTTATCTTTTTGGATATTATGTATTTATTTCTCCATTTGATGGATGCTTTGTTTTCTTTCTAGTTTGTATTTGATACTTTTTACTTTACGATGTATTTAATCGTTGTAATATAAAAAAAATTATCAAGAACTTTTTTATCTTAACATGTCAAATGGTGCATCAATATAATTTAATAGTGGTGATTTGTATCTGTTAATTTTAATGGAGAAATGGATATAACTAATTAGTCCATAGAAAATATAATTGAATCTTAAGTTAGTTATCAATTAGTTAGATGTCTTGAAAGATTAAATTTGATTTTGGTCTAAATATATTATTTATCTTTTTGAGTTTAGTTATTTTGAACTTAGGTAATTTTGAGTTTTATTTTTAGAAAAAAAATTTAGTGTTTGGAGTGTCTAAATATTTCTTAGGATTGTAATATTTTCTAGAATGCTTTTGGAATTTCTAAAGTTGAGAACTCTCTAAAATTAGTGTATTTAAAATTTTCCTTAGAGTACTATAAATAGAGATGTAATCTTACACTTTTGTATCAAACAAAAATACAAAGTTCTCTCTTCCATAAAGAATTCTCTTCTACCAAGTTTCTCTTTAACCCTCTAGTACTCTCACACACTTTCTCAAAACACAAAAGGCTTTATTTTAACAAAGTGGCATCAGAGCTTCAAGGTCTTTAAAAGATGGCGAATGGAGGTTTCCCTTTTCAAATGTCGATGCTCACAAAGAACAACTATGACAATTGAAGAATCTCATAGACAAAATCAAAAAGAAAAGTCTTGGTTGTTTCAAACAACAAAAAGAAATTAGTGTAGCTCTGAAGCCATTTGAAAAATGATTAAAGAATCAGAACCACAATATTGTGAACCGGATTAAGAATGAGAACCTTTTAAGGGCCCTAATTACTCTAATGGATAGGCAACAATCACTACCATAAAGAAATGGCACAGGCGTTTTCTCTTAATTCAATTATGGGAAACCAAGTCATATGATTAAGAAATGAAATATAGAGTAAACCTTGTGTTTCCCCTAATGCATAGGTTAACTTGATTGGTGAGCAATTTATTGCTTTGATCACTAAACTCAACACGATTGGTGAATTTGATGGTGGTGGATGGACATTGGCTCTTCTCGTCATATTCGTTATGATAGTGTAATGTTTAAAACGTACACTAATAAGAAAGTGTTGTTGGGAGTCATCTGCATCACTAATGTTGTTGATATTGGAGAAGTGGAATATTGTCTACCTCTGAAAAGATTTTAATCTTGAAGGATGTCATGTATACTCCAGAGATTATAAAGAATCTCGTTTATGGTTTTCTTCTAAATAAGGCAGAGTTTAGTTAGTTTATTGGGGTAGATTTGTACATAAACACTAAAAATGATATGTTTGTGAAATTACTATGTTTAATACTTTTGTTAATGAAATTGAAATTCAATTTAGTAACAAGATTAAGATACTTCAAAGTGATACAGAAACTGGATATTGTTTCAGTTTATTTAATTATTTTTATATTAAACATGGAACTGTACATAAAACGACTACTCCATATTCTTCTGAAATGAATGGTAAAGCAGAATGAAAGAATAGAACTCTTATTAAATTTATTGTTGTAATTATGATGAATTATGGTGTTGTACCTCACTAGTGGGGGGAAATTTTATTGACTGTTTGGTATGTCATGAATAGTGTTTCCAAGTCAAAAAGCAAGATCTCTCCTTATGAGATATTAAAGAAAAGACAACCAAACTTGTCTTATTTGAGAGCTTGGGATTGTCTGGCTTATGTTAGAATTCCATATCTAAAACGAGTTAAACTCGCTAGTAGAGCCTATGAATGTGTATTCATTGGGTATGCAGCAAACAATAAGGCATATAGATTCTATGACCTAAATGTAAAATTGATCATAGAATTAAATGATGTTGAATTCTATGAAGACAAATTTTCTTTCAAATCGAGAAATAGTGAGGGCATTCAATCGAGTCGCATTCATGTGATAAGAAGCACATAAAGCAATGACAATGTAGAAACAAAACTTCGACGAAGTAAAAGAGTAAGAGTTGCTAAAGACTATGGGTCCAATTATACAACATATAATGTAGAAGAAGATCCAATAAATCTTCAAGAAGCCTTCTCATCTATGGGTGCAGATTTATAGTAAGAAGCTATTAATGATGAGATAGAATCTCTAGAATCTAACAAGACCTGGAACTTAGTAGACTTTCCTCCTAGTTGCAAATTAATCGGTTGTAAATGAGTTTTGAAAAAGAAACTAAAACCTGATGGAACTATTGATAAATATTAGGTTCACCTTGTAGCCAAGGGTTTTAGACAAAGAGAAAATATAGATTTCTTCGACACCTTTTCTCTAGTCACTAGAATTACATCTATTAGGGTACTTATTTCAATAAATGCTATTTATAACTAAATAGTACACCAAATGGATGTTTAAACAACTTTTTTAAATGGTGACTGAGAAGAAGAAATCTATATGGAACAACCTGAAGCGTTTGTGATCCATTGATAAGAAAACAAGGTATATAAGTTAGACAAATCTCTGTATGGACTAAAAACAGCTCCTAAGCAATGACATGAAAAGTTTGATAACTTAATGATATCAAATGGGTACAAAGGGAATGAAAGTGACAAATGCGTTCATTACAAATCTGAGAAACGCATATGCATTATCATATAGGGATGGCAATGGGGCGGGGCGGGGGCGAGTTTAACTATACCCCTACCCGTTTCCATGTAACACAACCGCCCCCGTCCCCAAACCCAACTGGAGGTAAAAATTTACCACTCAGACCTACCCCCAGTAAAGAACGGGTGCACCCGCCCTGCCCCCACCCGCAAAAATTATTTTTTTTTAATTGCAATAAAAATTAATAATTTAATTAAAATTTTAATTATTTTAATAAATTAATTAATTATTAAATTAAATTTTTAATTAGTAAATAAATATTAACTTGATTAATTTAATTATTTTAATTGTAACAAGGGCATTAATAATTTAATTTAAAATATAATTAATAAATGAATATTAAAATAAGTAAAATAAGAGAATTATAGTAAAATGCATTATCCGGGGGTGGGTGCGGACGGGTCTTAGTGTCTTCTCGCACTCGCACCCGCACCCGCAGTTAAGAATCAGGTTTCATCCGCACCCGCATCCAATTAAATCGGATTTTCCCCGTTAATTTTGGGGCGGACCCGGGCGGGTTCGGGTTTATTTGTCATCCCTATTATCATATGTCTTTATGTAGCTGATCTACTCATATTTGGATCAAACATTTAGACCATTAATGATGTGAAATCATTATTGTGCAACAACTTTGATATGAAAGACCTCGAAGAAGCAAGTGTGATCCTTGGTATCAAGATCACGAGATCCGGACAAGAAATTTCTTTGGATCAATCACACTATGTGGAAAAGATCTTAAAGAAATATAAATACTTAGATTATAAACTTGTGTGTGTACCATAAGATCCAAGTGTAAAACTGTTTAAGAACACTGGTGGAAGTGTCAGACAAACAAAATATGCGAGCATCATTGACAGTCTTAGGTATGTCATTGATTGTACTATACCTGACATTAAATATGTCGTAGGATTAGTGTGCAGGTTTACGAGTAGACTGAGTAACGAGCACTGGCAAGCCATTGAGCGAGTCATGAGGTGCCTTAAAAGGACCATGGATCTTGGTCTACATTACCCAAAATTTCCTGTTGTACTAGAATGGTACATTGATGTAGATTGGAACACCTTATTGGATGATTCCAAAGCTACTAGTGGCTATATATTTAATATAGTTGAAGGAGTTGTATCTTGAAAATCAAAGAAACAGACTATCCCAGCTCAGTTCACAATGGAGTATAAGATGATAGCACTAGTCACAGCTAGTGAAGAAGCAAGTTGGTTAAGATGTTTGCTAACAGAGATCCCTCTGTGGGGAAAACATATGCCAGTTGTGTTGATCTATTACGATAGTGCTGCAGTTATTGCAAAAATTGAGAATCGTTATTATAATGGTAAAATATGTCAAATTAGAAGAAAACACAGCATTGTTAGAGACTTCTCTAAATAAGTTGTAAGAGTGGATAATACATCCTTTGACGAAAGGATTAGCTAGAGAGAAAGATCATAATACATCCAAGAAGATCGGACTAATGCCTATAAATAAATAAATTTCTCATGATGGTAATCCAACCTAGACAACTAGAGATCCCAAGAAATAGGTTAAATGGATAATAACAAGTCGTGAGCAATATGAGATGATCATACAAGTGAAGCATGAATCCTGAAGTAATAAGAGGATGAGATGATATAAACTCTTAATAAGCTTTATACTCTGTATGAGGGTGTACCTGGGCTACATAAGTACTTTTGATAGACTCACCTTTGTGATTGTGGAACTTAGGTCGGTTCCTATGGAATTTTGAAGCATAATTCCTAAAGTCTTCACTAAATTGGGATACACGTGCAGGGCCATTAAAGCATGGGATGTTAGAATACACCTTAAGAAAAGGTTGTGTGTGGGTTTGATGTCTGAGATAGAGTTCAAGACAAACGTGTCCTTCTGGTTGAATCAGAATCATACCTGTTACGCAGAGGTTCAAGTCGTATACACCTTTCTTTATGCACAGTCTTACAAACGTTTGACGTTACTTCTAAAATAATTTTTTGAATTCAAGTGGGGGATTGTTGGAACATTATGTCAATATTCTAATATAGGATGAATTTGAAAAAGTTTCTTAAGTCAAGTCTCACATTGTGTGTTAGTTGAAAAAAACTTGTTAGTCTCACATTACTTAGGTGAGATATATTTCCTTCCCCACTTCATTCCAAAACACGCCAAAAACTTATTTTGAGTTTTTCCTTCCTCACTCTCATAGCTTTGCGTCTTTTGAATTGTCGAAGCACCAACTTCTCCCCCTTTCTTTCTACTTGTTGAATTTTACGAGTATTTTTTTGAATTCTCTTTAGAGACTTATGTTAATTTCTCCTCGTTTGAGTTGAGAAATTACAAGTATTAATTTTTGGATTCTCTTTAGAGGATTACTTGAACTTCTCTTAGTTTTAGAAATCATTTTTAGTGGTCAAATGACAATTATTGAGTTCTCTTTGGAGAATTATTGGAATTTCACTTGATTTGAGATATTACTATGACTGATCATTATACCGGATACTACGATTGATATTTATACCATATTCAAATGGTTTTTGAACTATCAGAGAGTGTATTTCTAGACCGATTACCTACCGTGCAAGTAGTAATCATACAGTATAAAACTAGGTTGTTTTATCCTGGAGGTGGCGCAATAGTTCCACTGTTTTGCATAACTTTGAACAGTGTCGCGAAACGTCTTAAAGAAAACGACCTAGTCCGCAATTCGACCCGGTAATTTTTTCTGTGGCTAATTTTCAAAAATGTAAAAGAATAGTTATTTTATTAAAAATATCGCATTTTACATATACATCTCAAATTGGATGGAATGAATTTCATCATGTTCCATTCCGTCCATTATTTTCAAATCTAAACAATAAAATTACATTAATTATCACTCCACTCCATTTTATTCCAGCCATAATTCATTGCATAATTATAAATTTTGCTTGGAGATTCTCTTTATTAGGTGTAAAGACTCAAGTTGTCTCCTTTTTTTAACACTTATGAGGTGGCGGCATCTTGTATGAAATTGTTAGATGGTTGGATTTGGAGTTAATTTTACCTAAGAAAATTGATTTCTTATTTGAGTTAGTTAGATCCCTTAAGAATATGTATGTCTAGAGTTAAAACGGGTTTTGCCTTAGTTCGCCACTTTGTAGTGTGTTATGTGAAAATTTCAAAAAGATTTTATTTTCTCTGGCAGTTATTATGCATGATCTGGCGGATACAACTATTTTCTCTTGTAGTTGGGAGACATTGAGATCTATCTCTTTTTTCTCCCATGTGGAAGATGCTCTTAATCTTTGTTACTTTTAGTTTAGATTGCTGCAGAAAGCAGTCTTTATTCTAAAGCAAAACAAAAAAGCAGTCTTTAGACTATTGTGAGCGGGACTAGTATTTTTAATACCAAACAATAATGACGAGTTGACCGACCCACAATATTATCTAGAATGGTTTGAATATTTTGGAAGCAAACGCGTGGTAGTTAAACTGAATAATTATTTGAAAACTATATAGTAAAGAGATAATGGAATAATCAATGTGTCACAAAGCAAAGGACAGAGCGTAACAAACTAATGTAAACGGCGTCTTGCACTTTTCTTTCCCACGCCCTCTAACGCGTTTATCCAACACGTCATTTGTCTTTTTCCTTTGAAATTAAGTAAGCACGGCCTATATATACACCTTTTTGCTTCTATACTTTTCATTCACATAGCAACATCTTCTCTAATCAATTTCATCATCAAGAACAACAACAACATGAGTAACTTTAACAATCAGCAACAACAAGCACCTATATCATATCCACCACCAGGTGAGGCTTATTCTAATTCTCAATATGTTACTGCCCCACCACCTATGGGTTACCCTTCCAAGGATGCCCCTCAACAAACGATTCCAGACCAAACCACAACCAGAGGTGATGGGTTCTGGAAGGGATGCTGTGCTGCTCTGTGTTGCTGCTGTGCCATAGATATCTGCTTTTAACTTCTCATTCAATCATACAACTTACATACATAGTGTGGTTATTTGTTACCGCTATTTTTTTACTCGCTTGTTTCATATTATATTCTTTCTAGTTTGTAGAAGAATGAGGATTTTTACTTTTTTGGACATTATTTGTTTCCCTTGTATACTTTATGATGTATTTTTCTGTAGTAACTTTATGTTGTATTTAGTCGTTGTAATATAATTGTTTATCATTCATTTTTTGTCTTAACGTGTCAATTTGTTCATCAACTTATGGTTTGTAACCTGAATTGAATTTATATTTTTCAGAAGCTCTGTCCAAAAAAATGATCATCTTCACTCATTGTTAGTAGGGGCGTTAAAAAAAGTTTCCCTTAATTATCCAGAACCAGACAGTACCGCTTTTAAAAGCCATGTCCATTTCTGTAGAAAAATTAAATTGAAAAAGCAATAAACAGGTATCATTTTGTAAATTGGTTTATGTTGTGGGCCGGTCACAATATTAGAACATGATGAAAACAAAAAATATATTTACTGTTAAGTCTGAAAACATGTTCCATGCCGGTAGTTCTATCCCGTGGTCATCCGCACGTCGCTCCAAAAATAACATCGTCAAAGAAGCAGACTCGAAGAAAGCCATGGACTGACTAAAGTCCTAAATGAGTTCCATAAATCTCCAGACCGTTGGGGGCACAGGCATGATACACCTTCGCCTGGCCCTGAAGAGAGAAGGGCAGTCACCCCCTCCAAAAGTATGTCGGCCGACGAGAAGGGAGAGGAAGGAAAAAGTTACATCATCTCAACCAAGGAAAAAGAATCCTCTAACTATTTGATAACTTAGACGAAACCATTCCATGATCCCTGGAAAAAAAAACGAAAATCTGAAGATTACAACAGAAACAGAGACCCTGAAGAGCATGTCCAATACGTGGACGACCTACTAGACTATTACCTCGCGGACAGACACGTAAAATGCAAACTAATTGCACTTACATTAACGGAGTCCCCTCGAACGTGTTTCAAATCCCTTCGTGACAAGAGCATAGGTTCGTGGTTTGAGTTGTGCAAAATTTGTACTGTCCATTTTAATGCTAAGAAACGGTAGCTGACAATTATGGTCGGCTTTAGTGGAGTGACTTAAGGAAAGAAGGAAACTCTGCGTGTGTGCAATTACGGGTTCATTAAGGTAGTCGTGGCCACCGGAGAAACGGATGAAAGTCTCGAGTGTTGGATTTTAGTGAAAGGACTCCGACCTAACTGCACATTCTGAGAAAAATTGGATCGTAAAGAAGCTTATAATTTGAACAACTTACTTAGTCGGGCTCAGTCCTACATTAAATATGAGGATAAACTATTGGCCGATTAAAGGAGTCGAGAACTAGGGATCTTTGGAGTCGATCGAGTAGTAAAAAGAAGATTTAGGGAAATTTAGGGAGGAATATGAGTGAATACTCCTACACTCCTTTAAACACCTCTCGAGAAAGGATTTTGATATAGTGTGTTAACGCGGAATTTAAAGAAGTTGATATAAGAAACATGCATTTGGTCAGAGTCTACCCAAACTGATAGGTCAAAATATTTTTGTTTCCAAAAAAACAACTGCCTTAATACTAAAGATTGCATTCAACTCAAAGACGCAGGCAAATGGCCTATCAAGAAAGGGTGGCTATCTGAATATACCAAAGATGGTAAGAGAAGCAGAGAAGAATCTTCAAAGAAAAGAAAATCCCCCAAAAAGACAATTGAGATCGTCGTCGTGGAAAAGTGTAAAGAAACTTGTAGCGAAGAAAGTGAAGGACATATGAAAAGTGCCAGTATATCGCCTCTATAAATGATGGGCTCCTAAGTCGAGTGTGTCATCTGAAGGCAAGATAAATAAGAAGATTGTCGAATTAATAGTTGTAAGGAAAAAGGAAGGAAGCACCTCAGTCACCAATCCAAAAAGGTTGATCCTCGGATTTCGAGACAGTGAGAAGGTGGAAGGAATCTCGAATTAGATATTCCCTTTTGTGACAGCAATCATAACCAATTTTAATATGTCTCGAGTCCTGATTGACGGAGGTAGTTCTTGCAACATCATTTACGCCTATCTCTAATAGCACTTTGACCCGCCTTTTAGGTATACATTGAGTTGATGGTTACCTTTGGGGAAGGAAAAATACTAGAATCGTCAACGCTCAGTTCTTGGTTATCTTGTGTTGACATGTTTACAATTTTACCATGTGACGGCCCTTTGTAATAACACTAGACGCAATAGCCTTCTCAATCCATTTGAAGATGAAATATCATAACATTCACGAAGAGATGGTTAGCATCAGTGTTGATCTGACAAGAGTTAAGAGGATTTATTAAACTTTACAGTAGGATCAGAACAAAGGTGAAGCTACCTTTATGGAAATTAATGTGGCTTCATTGATTAAGTAGGTAAAGGATATGGACATCTGTCCTCCGACCAAGAGAATACCGCGAATAGAGTTGGTAAACAAAAGTAGTTAATCGGGGGGAAATTTCAACCCCTAAGACAAACAAGCGATGTTAGAGACCACTTAGTTATGTTATCTTTTTAGTTATGTTTTATTGTAAAAGAAAGACTTTGCATGTTCGTCACAATACAGCTATTGAAGTAAAGGAAGAATGTTTCACTAAATTGTTTTTTTCTTTTCTATCATCAAAGGTAGAGACGAGTATGGGGTACATCTAGGAGGATCGAAGCTACATCACGCATACACAGGGATTTTTCATAAATTCTAAAAGTATATGACTAAAGCAATCAAAATCTTACGACACCAAAACACAAGCACGACAAACATGCCTCAAAATGGAAAAAAAAATCCCTACCTTGTTTTCGGTATCTAGTCATTCTATAAGTTATAGTAAGTCTGCCAATATGTCAACCTTGAGCCGAGTTTACACTTTACACCTAGGGGCATGGGAAGAAGTACCGAACCTTGACCAAGTACCGTCTTTAGAGACGTCCAATGCAATACGAGCATGAAATTTGGGAGAAAAAACTTAAACTCTATAAGAAAATATACAAGTTAAATAAAAATAAACAAAATAAAATGTATTTAAATATATAAAGATTCACATACGCAAGATTTAAATTCATCGGCATTCAAAAAAGTAGAAAAAAACTACTCGTATGGAAGAACGACTTGACCCTCTTCAATTATTTGGTTAGGCGGACCTGAGATCGAGAGATGGGATCAGTCGAATAAAATATTCAACTTACCAAAGTGCATTTTCAAAAGTGTCCCCAGTTAAAGTAAAATCTTCCTGTAAGGATTTGTACAACTTATTACAAAGGGGAAGATTTTGTTAGACGATGGCAACGATCTAGAAGGGGGTTGAATAGATCAATAATTTCTAAATAGAGTCGGCGCTTAAAAGAAATTTGGTTTTTAAAATTTATGCGGAAGTGGTCAAGGAACTAGATCGTCTAAACGAACAGTTACTGAAAAGATCGGATATGCGATAAGCCAAGATGAAATATCGAATTCAATGAGAAAACGAATCAATATTTTGAAAGTTAATCAATACAATTAGAATCACTTAAGTTTGTGCAATTTTCAATGGCTTGTAAAAATTAAACTCAATTGACAAAAGAACCAATAGTTTATGTGCGATCAATTCGTCGAACACTTAGTATGCAAAACACCCTAAGTGAAATTTTCTAAGTAATGGTAGTGCAGATTTTTCCAATTACAATCAAAATGATTGTAATGAGTTTCAAAATACTTTTTAGAATTACACTACGCCAGAATTTTTATCGAACAATTGATGGTGCACAAACGTTAACAATTCAAAAATAGAGATATAGAGAACAACACCAAATTTGTTGAGGCATTTCCCTTTTCTTCCTCGCTTAGGGTATGTCTGCCCTCAATTCTAGACATAGAATTGAGATATGTATTATCTTGTTGTAAAAGTTTATACAAGAGAAGTTATAGTAACCACACACATACAAGCCTAGTTATTGATGTTGATACTATGTCTTCTCTCCCCTTGATTCAAGTCGAATCAAGTGCCTCGAACGTGTTGAATAAACCTCTGGTTCTAGCTACTTGTCTGAACAACCCAACGGTCATCAAATATTTAGCTCGGATGATTTCAATCACACACAGTTCGAACATAAATCTTTCTTCCACAATCCTCCGGTTACTGCTACTAGATTAAACGAACCACCTGTTCTTCAATCTCCTTCGCTCGGCTGAATCTGTGAAGAAACGATTTATGCAAAAAAAAAACAAAATCTCAAGATTCTTAGAGGACAAGACCCTAACGGTTTTATTCAAGAAAAAACCACCAAAATCTTAACCCAAACCCGATACAATATCCTATGTTTGGACGTTATCACCTCAATGATGAAAAACGATCAACAAAAATTGTTATGTTTAGTTGTTGAGAAAATGCAAGAAAGAGGACGAAGATGATGAGAAAAATTCAGTGTCAATATTTCACTTTTCTTGTTGTGTCTTCAAATGATGAGCCAAAAATAATATATATGATGCTAAGACCATTACAACCATAAAAGCAATTTGAAAATGAGACATATCAAAAAAATAGTGTGATTCGAGCGAATGGTCGACCTAAGAAAAGGGGGGGTCGACCTGAGCACACTGAATTGCAGAATTGGGCAAAAATTGAATCTGTGTGTCGACCGAAACAAGTTCATGCGTCGATGCAAACTTGCCCAAAAATGACAAATGCAAATGTTAATAGTATGAGTCGATCAGAGGGTCGACGCGAGCACACCTAAGAGAAAAAGCTTTAAATCCATATAACATGAGTCGACCTAATAGGGCTTTGAGTCGACTCAAGCACTCGAAACTCTCAAAAATGACTTTTTGCACATAGTTTGGTCTGTCTAAACAATACTTATGCATACCTAAGTCTCCTAACATGATCAAATAAACACAAAACACATATGATACTCTTTTATATGAATAGACTCATGTTTTTGACATATTTTTGTGCATTAGGAAACTATGAATACAGACTAAGACTTGATGATACCATCCAAATTACAAAGTACAAACTAGACACAATTTAACATCATTAAAATAAGGATTGAGACATCTTGCACTCACAAATTTTCCTAGCGCATCTTGGTAAGTCCGGCCTCATTGTCGTTTCGCTTTAGTCATAGTCACGTCATTATTAGTTACCAATTGAATTAGTTGTTTCACCCTCTCAGTCAGAGAACCAAAATACCCCAAGGGTTCTAAAGTTGTTTGTATATAAAGAAAGAGTTGGAAACATCTTGAACCTTCTCTAAATATCTATCCGTGTCGAAGGTAAGGTCACCTATGTTATTTTTCAACCTTTCTCTCTCCCTACAAAAGAGATCAAGCAATAAAAATTCCTCCTTACCATCTGCACCAAAACCTAAAATACCGGATGCCCAACGAACATGATATGCTAGCTCGGCCAATTCACCTCTGTGAGTCTCGTCAAGAAGTCCAGAGAAGTAAGAATAGTCTTCTTCAGAGATCAAAGAGTGAAATTCACTACCCTTCCTCAAACTCTAACGTGCCAATAGTATAAAATTGGTACCCATTTGCGTAGAGGACAGTCCACCCAAAGACCTAGACCGTCGAAGGTTCTTGAAAGGAGGAACTTCCTCACGAACTTCTTCTGACTCAGGGATGGGAGATAACCTCTCCTCCTCTTCCTTCTGGTCAAGAAAAGAAGAATTTTATTCCAAAAGGGTGTGACTGGGGGAGGGGGAGCCACCTCTTTGACACCAGGAAAGACTGTATGGGTAACTTGCTTAACGGTCGGACCAGACAGAGTACCAGCGGGCGTTTCTGAAGTAGATAAACCACCAGTCGAAGGTGAGATTGGGATCCCGACTGAAGCACTGAACGCTCTAACTTCTTTATTAAATCATCTTATATTATCCTCACTCTTCATAATATTTGTAAAAGGGAGTGAAAATATTAGGAAGAACCACAAAAAGGTAAAGGGGAAAACGAAATTCTCAAGCCATCTTATCAAAGATCTTCTTGCTCTCTTATTTAGATTTAGCATTCACAATCCAGCGAGTTTGAATGCATCTCTTTAATCGGGTCTTAGAAGAAAGGTCGGAGGGAACCACCCCGCCTACATAACCAAGCTCCTGGTAACAAGACACCAATTGGGATTTTAGGTATAGCTGTTATTCTGACAAATCTTCTTCTTGTAACGACATGTCTCGGATCCGGTAAGGAAAAGACTATGAGTCCAATATTGGCGAAAAATATTTGTACATGAAGAATGAGCATTAGGATCCAGTCTAAAATCTTCGAATGGGTTTTGTTATTCAACGGAACCACCAAGAAAAAAGGGTCCTTAAAGTTTTTCACACTATCAGAATAAGGCTCAAAGTATTTAGTGTTCTGCCGCAAGTAAATTAAGCCAGGACCTTTTGCAAACTTAGAACCACTTTGCACTCTCAAGAGGTGAAAACTAATATCATTTTCTGTTTCCTGAATTTATATTCACATTAGGATTGGAAGACCATGACAAACGCCCAACTCACATGGTACAACTGTGAAGGAGCAATAACTGGATGATTTAGAATACTGGTTTCAAACTCATTGAAAGGAAGATGATAGTCGACAAGGGAAAACATGCATTCATGAAATAGGATAGTACACCCAACGTATTAACAACAAACCCTTTGATCCTCATCTGGGGAAAGGACACTTCAATCCTCATGCGAACCCACATCAGTTATATCCTGAGCAAAGGCATAATTATGGGAGAAGATTGAGGCAACACCTGATATATATAAACTTACTCAAACTCTCGAAATATCCCTACCATCTCTCATAGTCGATCCAGAGGAAACAGACATATTTGCAGGAATCAAAAAGAAAATATCGAAATCAATAAGTAGATCTAATAAAATTGAAATGCTAAGAAATCCTAAAAATGATTAGGGGAGAAAATAACGAAAATCTCATATGCCACAACTCAGAAGCTCGAATATGAAGTCAAACATGGTAACAAATTGAACCGAAAAGTAAAATTTCTTGGATGGTTGATCAACCTTCATACCAAGAGAATCTCTAGAACAGAGACAGATAAGGGGAAAAGAGTGAAGTCTCATTCGAAACCTAAACCCTAAACCCCAATAAAGTCAATATGTAGTAAAAAAAGTAAAGTCTCATTGGAAGCCTAGTACATCTTCTCAAATGATTCAAGGTCACACAATCACTCCAACTATAAACGGTTGGGATTCCCCTATGAGTGTTGGATTGATATTCTAACTTCTCCAATTTTATTATATGGACGATTAGCGAGGATAGAGAACATGTGTCATCCATTATCTGCCTCTTGAAGTGTCACGCATGAGTGTTATCCCAAAATCGTCTCTTCTCGAGAACATCAATGTCTTATCATACCTCTCCCATGATGACCTTTTTGGACACACAAGATAGTTGCTCAAAACGCTTACCCTTCATGACATGTGACATAGGATTAAGGGTGACTATTTTGCGCCAATCGATAAAGCCCAATTGAACATGAAGCTCAATACTAGAAGCATGTGAAACATGATGAAAACAATAAAATATATTGTTAAGCCATTTTACACTACTTCTTCTAAGAACACGCTCCACGCCTTCAGATATATCTCGCGGTCATCTGCACGTTATGCTCGTTTTACATATTAAAATTGCAAACAAACTCACTTATTTAAAGGGGAGCTCTCATGCCATTTTAAGTTTGATTTTCACTCCTATTTAAAAGTTCACTACTTATTTCACTCACTAACTTGAGCGTTTAAGTGCTAGCATCGTCCACCGCATCGGAGTTCAACTTCACTGTGACACATCAACCAATTATATATCTTTAATCATCTTTTCGTTCTCAAACAGAACAGTTTATATAATGAACTCCTTTACTAAAACAATGGTGCAAATGTTTTCTTTAACACCATTTCTTGAATGAATTTACAAACTCGATTCTCTTTGATTTTGTCATCCACTAGTCTTTCTCAATCATTTTTTAATGAAATAGATTGCATGTCACAACTATGTGGTTTTTCCAAACGAACACCTAAATTTTCTTATTTATCTCGAATAATCTCGAATAGCACCACATAGCATTTGACCCTCAAAATGCTATAGCAGCATAGCGGAATGACCACTATTTTGAGACCTTTAAAAATCAAAATGTAAGTTCCAATAACTTACATAATCAATATAAGTTTCCATCAAATCAAATTATAAATATATTTAAAATGACTAAACCATATTCTAAACGTAAATAAAATGACTAATTCACATTTGTGTCGGTCTCATCTTCACTTCTAAGCTTCACCACATTTATATCATGTCGCTTATCACTTGATTCAAACTCTTCTTCTTCCACCTCCAACTCCTCGTCACTATTATACATTAACGTAGCAAGTCTAGAGTGATGTCTAGTAACTCATACTGATTTATTAGCCCAGCGACATTTTTCTGCAAGCTTTAACTTCTCCCTTTATCCCCAACTAATGCTCTCAGTTCTTGTTATTCCTCTAATTGAAGGGTGCTCGCAAAAATTGCAACCAATAGTTTTTTTTCTTTGATCTTTACCGGAGTTCCACTATCAACCTATGTCAATATTGCAATCAATAGGTTTAAAAAATCCTTTATTGAAAATTGTTGTCAAACTTATAGAAAATGATGTGGTTACTAATAAAAGAGAAATAGAGAAACACGGTAAAAGGAGAACAAGATGAAAAAATAGATGAAGAATAAGTTAAGAACAATGATGATTTTGAATAAACCATGGATGGCTTTTTTATATGAAAAAAACAAACTCAAAAAATATTTTGCAAAGGTGAATTTCTAAAACGCAAACACACGAATGAAAAAAAAAACATGTGAGATGACCTAAAGCAAACACTTGCAAACGTGTGAGATGACCTAAAACAAACACTTGTGTTTTTATATTAGGTCAAAATACCAATTTGCTCTTAAAAAACAAATTTATAAATTTACCCTCATCTTCATATCAGTGGTCTGCAAACCACTACAGCCACAATTGTGCCATGATAACACCTACATGACTCCACAATTTGCAGCCGCTATCGTAGATAGTGCCTAGCAGCCTAAAAGCATCGTGGTGTGGTCCGGTTCTGCTATGCCACCGGTTCCAATATGCCGCTATAGCGCACTATCGACAACCTAGGTTGTTTCATCTGCCTCCATCGTGAGCAAGATAGTTCCTGCCACCATTTGAGTTCCTTAATTTTTTACCCAGTACCAAATTTGGCTCATGGCTCTATTGTTTAGCATTATATCATTGAAGCCTCCTACAAGACATCATCTTTCGCCCATAATAGTGATAACTTGAGGCACGTGACCATGAAGGAGAAACAACATGGCTGTGATAAATCCAATAAAGATAACTAACTAATGATTCAAAGTTAACCACTATCAAGACTCTGTCATCCTTTTACACATCTAACATCAAACTTGATTTACGATATTGAAATTAAGGAATATGTTGTGAAAAGAGCTAAGGAATAACAAGGACCAGACAGTGTACCACTCTTAAAATTTTCAACCATTGCTTGGACATGTTTACAGAATGAATTATGAAAAGTCTCACTGTATAGCAAGATTCTTAAATCAATTATTGGTAAGGTGACAATTGAATGAAATAAGGTGATGGCTGAGACACTTACTCGCATTCTAAACTCAATCAGCATAAGATACAATTTCAACAATAGGTAACCAACAACAATGTGAAAACAAAAAATTGACAATAATCTCCATCTCACAAAAATGGTTCCCAACAGTTTTTTCCCTTTCCACATATCTAAATTCATCTCAGGTTTTTATAAAAAGTTGTAGCTGTCTCTTAATCTGTCTATCTTTCAACTCAGAATGGGTGCAGGAGGGACTTCAAGTGTGATTCCAGCTTGGATTTGGCCCCAGCCAATAAGACGCCAATGCTTCTCGACACGTCTACTTAGAGCAATCTTCTCACCCTTGCTGGTACACACAGGGGAAGTAAGTTGCAATTTTGCCAAGTCGTTCTTCACAGCAACCACTCTGGCACCTGTTGACATTGATCCTATGTTCAACATAAGCATCTCTCCTTTAGCCAGTTTTGCAACTTTTCCTTGTCTCTCCGAACCCTTTGTCCGGACACCCAGAAGCCGTCGAAGCAAGAAAAAGTTTACCTGCAAGACCAAGTGCATAACAGGGAAACTAATACCCACCTTTCATGATTCATAACAGAAAAAAGATTAACAGTCATAACCCTAAGGCATAGTAGCCACGTACCTCAAGTTCAACAAAAACCTCGGGCAGTGATCCAACCTCTCCAAGAACTTGCCCAACCAACCTGTCAGCACGAGTCAAAGTGGGATCCATTGTTGTTCCAACACCAATAAGGCCTCCAGGAACTGCAAACTGAAGCTCATTTTGTTCAGCATATAATGAAACTATTCTCGAGTAGATAGGTGTGCATCGGATGTTTCCACTCTCGTCTTTAACAACTATTCCAGGTCGAACTTCAATGAATTGGTTGACCTTTAAAACACCCTGCATATAACAAATTGTAAGATGCGCTTTAAAATAGTGTCAAATGTCTAACCACAAAACTTGGCCCATGATAAACAAGAATTTGGTCTCGGCAATTGGAAACTCATCATAACATATTAAATTGGTCTAAACATAACAGAAAAAGAAGCATGTTATTTGGAATATTGACCAAAGAAAGACTTACCCTCAGAATGCTTCCACCAGCTACACCTCCTTTTATTTCATCAACCTCATAACCGGGTTTATTGACATCAAATGACCGAATTACTATCATATTAGGTGGAGAAATGAAGTTCCGTTCAGGGATAGGGATCTTTTTCACGATGTACTCACACACAACATCAATATTATACTTCAATTGTGCTGAAATAGGTACTACTGGTGCGCTATCAGCAACAGTTCCCTGGTAAAACACCAAGAAAAAGGGGAGTGTGTCATTCATGTTGCTGAAAAAGAGATTCTTTGTATAAATAAATATCTCCGTAGAAAACTTACTTGAATAAACTTCTGAATTGCTTCATGCTGGTTGATTGCCACATTTTCTTGAATCAAATCTACCTTGTTCTGGAGGATAATTATGTGTTGTAGACGCATAATTTCCACAGCAGCTAAATGCTCAGAAGTTTGTGGTTGCGGGCAGCTTTCATTTGCAGCAATGAGTAGCAAAGCACCGTCCATGATTGCTGCTCCATTAAGCATAGTAGCCATGAGAATATCATGTCCCTACAGAATATAAATGTGAAAACCCGCAAACATATATTTCATAATTGTGCCCAAACCAGCCCTAAGTGACAAACAATGGTTCGGGACCTTACTGGGCAATCAACAAAAGAAACATGTCTCAACAATTTCATTTTGGAATTTTCAAACCCTGGTACGTCACAGAGAGGATTATCTTCCTTTCCACTTCCATAAGCCCTGCAGAAAAGAAGAAAAATAATTATCACATCACCAAATGTTGATCTAACTGATGCTAAAATAGCAAATCTAAAATAATACCCACTTGTAGGACATAGGCCTTGGACACCGGTCATCTTCACACTTGTATATTTTTGCATTCGCATAACCAAGCTTGATTGTAATGTTACGTTCCAACTCATTTTTAAAACGCACGGTCTGCAAAACAACCATGGGAAAACAGAGGTCAACGGTTTAACTATCCATTACCGAAGCTCGAGGAAAATGCATCAAAATACATATAACATGGTTATTTATAAGGTACTTTATCAAAACTGAAAATGCAATAAAAGGGTAGAAAATCCGACCAATCAGTTAAATAACCGCATAAAATACACATTAACCGATTACAAAATACAGCTAAACATCGCGCCATGCTTAGACACACACAGTGTAGAAAAAAACTTAATACAAGGGCATACCTGAACACCTGATATTGCTTTCACAACAGTTGACTTTCCATGTGCCACATGACCTATGGTGCCTGCAAGGATAAAGTTCATTACCCATCAGCATTAACACTCAGTTGATGATAAAGAAGCTTGTGCAATTTTAATAGAAAACCTGTTGAAGTCCTGAATTCTAATGTGATTGCAGCAAAATTTCAAAATATGCTTGTAAAGATATACAAGCAAATAAACCTAAAACTATGATAAAAATATATTACCAATATTGATAGTAGCCTGCCGAGATATGACTTCAGGATAAAGCGGATGCAATTTTGCCACATCCAACTTACTCAGGTCTTGTTCCATCAACCCCTTCCGCGACATTTTGGCTGCTGCTTCCAATAAAGACTTTAATTCAGTGAAAAAACGACAAATAGAATACTTTTCATTTAACTATTATCTAATCTACATATACATATTACAAATCAAGAACATGTATATGACTCCACATTTTTGTTGTAAAAATATTTGTATAAATATAACACAACCTAATTCTATAATGTCATACTGTATTACCAACCATCATATCAGGTAAAACATGTATGATTACAAACAATTTCAAAAAAAATAACCTTATGACCAAATATAGACATCGATTATGCTTTTGCATTATTAGCTAAAATTTTCTCATAACAGGAAAAATTGCACAGAAGCCCCTTCAGATATCGCAGATTTATAGATTGATTCCTCAAGTTTCAGTTTTGGAGTAAAACCCTACAACTATAGTAAGTCTATGAAATGGATAATTGAAATTTTCATTCAAAAATAAAATACAATAATTAATATGTAGCTTAAGAAACACAAATCAATAGCATGAACATATCAAAATCCAACACCATTAGATAAGAAAGAAGCTCAGATATAACAATTCTGAATGATTCATACAAAAAACATAACAATTCCAAAAAAAAATTGATTGAGGATTACCAATTAGTGGATTTGAAAGTGGATGAGTAGAGAAGCTACAGTGACCAAATCTGAGGTAAGAAGAGAGACGAAAGAAGAGAGGTTTGTGATTAAAGGATACAGACACGACAAAACCCTCTTCGAAATCGAACCTCGAATGATGATTGTTATGTGGTTTTGAGGTTCTCGGAGGTGGCTAGGTTTTTTTTTCTTGCGTTGAGGAACAGCAGAAAATGAATAGGTGTGTGGGTGTTGGGTTTTATGGGTTTCGGGTTATTCATGGGAAATTATGGGCCAAAACATGTACAATTGAAGGAAGTTTTACCTCATACCCCTACACTTGTACCTATACCCCTACATTAAAAATTTTTGGACCAAAATATCCTCGTATAAAAATTTATTATTTTTTAATTTTTTTATATTTTTTTATTTGTTTACCGGAAGACTTTTTGGAAGTCTTCCGGTTCACATTTTTTTTCATATGTTTACCGGAAGACTTTTTGGAAGTCTTCCGGTTCGTATTTTTTCTTGTTTACCGGAAGACTTTTTGGAAGTCTTCCGGTTCATTTTTTTTTTTTTAATTTGTAATTAATATTTAAGATTTATTAACTTTATATAAAGACCAATTTAGTGAATTTTTGAATATTATACTTAAAATATAAAAATTCTATAAATAAAAAATTATTTTTAGAATATTTTCTATTTGCTATAATTATTAGAATATAATGAGATTAAAATCATTTATTTTAAATGATTATAATAGTAAAATTTTCTCAAATATCTTATTAATCTTAAACATTAATAAATAAAATAAATTTAAATATAGGATATAAGTTTACATTATTCAATATATTTAATCAAATGAAAACATATGTGATAAATAAATAATGTATTTTAACTTAAAATGATCACAATAAGTTAACTTGCAAAATAATATAAGTAATAAATTAATAATGTATTTTATTTAAAATAATCACAATAATAGAATACGCAAATAATGTGTTTTATTTATAGGACTGATATAGTTTTATTGATTATTTAATTTTAAATACTACTATGAATATAGTATTTAATCTATACTTTAGAACTCACATAATTATAAATATAAAAAATATTGTTTTATTACCCATATTTTTATTTAATTAAAAAAAATAAGAATATAAATTTATTATTTGTTTTTCATTTTCGTTTGATCTTTTTTTTATTTATAAATTTTTTGCATATTCTATATTGTGCTTACTTTAAATAAAATATATTATTTATTTTATTAAAAATATTAAATAAAGTAAAATAATTAAAAAGATCAAACAAAAATGAAAAACAAATAATAAATTTATATTCTTATTTTTTTTAATTAAATAAAAATATGGGTAATAAAACAATATTTTTTATATTTATAATTATGTGAGTTCTAAAGTATAGATTAAATACTATACTCATAGTAGTATTCAAAATTAAATAATCAATAAAACTATATCAGTCCTATAAATAAAACACATTATTTGCGTATTTTATTATTGTGATTATTTTAAATAAAATACATTATTAATTTATTACTTATATTATTTTGCAAGTTAAAATACATTATTTATTTATCACATATGTTTTCATTTGATTAAATATATTGAATAATGTAAACTTATATCTTATATTTAAATTTATTTTATTTATTAATGTTTAAGATTAATAAGATATTTAAGAAAATTCTACTATTATGATCATTTAAAATAAATGATTTTAATCCTAGTATTCTAATAATTATAGTAAATAGAAAATATTCAGAAAATGATTCTCTATTTATAGAATTTTTATATTTTAAGTATAATATTCAAAAATTTACTAAATTGGTCTTTATATAAAATTAATAAATCTTAAATATTAATTACAAATTAAAAAAAAAACATGAACCGGAAGACTTCCAAAAAGTCTTCCGGTAAACAAACGAAAAAAATATATACCGGAAGACTTCCAAAAAGTCTTCCGGTAAACATACTAAAAAAATGTGAACCGGAAGACTTCCAAAAAGTCTTCCGGTAAACACATAAAAAAATATAAAAAAAATTAAAAAATAATAAATTTTTATACGAGGATATTTTGGTCCAAAATTTTTTAATGTAGGGGTATAGGTATAAGTGTAGGGGTATGGGGTAAAACTTCCACAATTGAATCCAATAAACATATAATCTTTTACCATAAATACAAAAAATAATATTAAATTGATGTAAGAAATTATATTTTGAAGTCAAAATTAGATAAATGATTGATTATTAAAATTTTGATATTGGTTATGGTGTCTTTTAAATGTGTATAAATCATAAGCAATAAAAAGTGAGACAAATAGAAATAATATATCTATTATGTATTATATAAGGTATTTGTATTTTGATATTTAAATTATACAATTAATTTTTAAAATAATTGGGATAAAATTATGTCTTTGATTGCTTGTACAACTATCACTAGAGTTGGATATTTGGGTTTGGTGATCTTGTTTAACTAATTTCATATAAATTTGTATATTAGATAGATTGGATTAATCTGACTAAAATTATTAACGAGTTTTAAAATGTTAGTTTAAATTTAGTTTGTATGTGTTGGGATTGAATATAATATTGTGGGATGATTTTTTTTTGAGCAACATCTTTATGAAATACATACTATATATTCATCCAAATTCTTTAAAGTTATTGATATAAGGATTCTCTCATTTATAAATGTTCAAGTCACCATATATTTTTATCTGATGTAAGACTATTATTCATATTATTCACATTTGTAATACTTAACAATATAAAAAATAAATTTAAAAATAAATAAATTATAGTTAATTATTATAAATTTTTTATAAAAAAAAAATCCTAAAGCATATACTTAAAAATAATTGTAATATATATTTTAAATCAATCTTTTTGTAGTATTTATATATTTGGTAGCTACACTTTTTACCAATGATGGGCAAATTATAAAGTATAAAAATTTAGTTAATCTTAAAAATAATTTTTAGATGGGTTATAAACGAACGCATGAATCTACAGATTAAACTCATATAACCTATAATCTAACGGTCAAAACCCACACAGGCTAAACTTTAAATAAGTTTTAAAAAAATTAAATAGATAAGAAACCAGAGGTAGAGAAGGAAGAGAAAATACTTTTTATTGTCGATAACATGATTAAGGACATTAGAATCAAGGATCCAAGGACCAAGAGAATATAATTGAGAGAGGAAAACAAATGAATTACTAGTGTGTACAACCAAAGCAATATAACCATAGTTTTAATTATTCTGATACCACCTAAGTAAATCATCATAGTTTTGCGTAAAGCTCTAATGAGTAAGTATAGTCTGAAGAATGTCTAACTGATCAACCTGAGCCACATTCACCCGACGCGAAGGTCTGCTTGCAACTTCCAATAATAGCCAATAGTATGTTTAAGTCAGTTACAAGGCCCACACTTGGGACGATGTTTGTAGTTGGATGACCCTCGTCTAATGCAATTTTGATTGTTGTAGAGGGACGCGAGTGAAGTTGTGTCACATGGTGAATGGGCATCAATAGGCTCAAAGGAATATTATGCAAATACTCAGAAAGGGACAATATAGGCAATAGGTAGATCTAGAATAGTGGTAGAACTCAAAATCAGATCACAAGTGGCAGAGTATTCCTAAGGAAAACCAAGTAGAGCAATAAGCATAAGTAAGGTGTTACATTATGCTTATACATTTTCTTCTTCAAATATGGTGCATCCAACAAGAGTTATGATTCCATTAATTTCATGAAGTGAAATATAAACTTGACCAAAATATGTTGACCTAGACTCCTTTAATTTTTCTCAGAGTAATAATACTAAAGACTTTGTGACACACTTCATAAAGACATTCAGTGTCATTCGTGTATAATTGTTTTGCCTACATCTAAATTAATTCACGTGTGACATGGGGACGAAAGATCAGTTTGATGTCGGGATGAAGAGTTGAATTGACTCTGATGCAAGTTGAGCATCAATTTGTTCCCATTTTGCCTTATTTGTTGCAACCATTGTGTTGGAAGTTGTAATAAGGTAATCCTTGTAGCCTTCATCATGTATCCATAATTTGATGTAAGTGGCCTAACTATTATAATTGAACCCATTTAACCTGTCTATAGAGAGTCGATAAGTGACATAGTTTGTGAAAATACTATTTGAACCAGAAGATTTTCCAGTACCGGTCATTAGTATCCGAAGAGGAAAAACGTACGAGCAGATGGAAATAGATATGTTTTTAACCATATTTCCGTAGATGGAAAATAAAATCGGCTATCAGATATGGAATTAAAAGGTAAAGGCGAGTGTGACAATGGTCCGCGCTCATAAGTTAGGGGTGTGTGAGATGGAGTTTGGGGGTGATCTTTTAGGGATAGGTGGGATCGAAAGAG